AAGCCCCCCCCCCCCCCCGAAAAGCCCAGCGCTGCCTAAGCCTTCATACACCCTGGAAAAATCTCTCCTTACCTGTCGATACCCCAAACCGAAAACCCTTATCCAATGTCCGAAACCCACAACCCTGAAACACTCAACCGCCCTGAATTCCAGTTGTTTACTCGGCCGGAGCTTGAGTCGCGGTTGCGTGCGTGTCTGAATTGTGGGTGATTCGCGGGTTTGTATCATAGCTGGCGTGCTCGCCTTTGCGGTTCAGTCAAGGACTGCTCCTTCCCTGCGAAATGCCGAACATGCTGGCAGTGTCTTGACCATCAGAGAACACGGATACAGGAAGCATGCGTGAGAGGGCGTGCTAACTGAGACAGGCTGTGCACTCTTAAGGTAGCTGTGCCTTTTGGTGATTCCTGTTTGTGGTAGTTGCGAGCTCCCAGCTCAGACGTCGCAAGTCACGTCACCCCCAGGTTACCAGGTTGCCACACGCCATGCGAGACTTGTCCGACGTGTTCGACTGCTCGAGAGAGAGAGAGAGAGAGAGAGAGAGAGAAAGAGAGAGGAGTCGCACTGCATCGGCAGCAGTTAGCAGCTCGGCCCATGCCGTCGGAAGCAGAGCTGAACGCACGAAAGGTAATTAGGGAAGAAGGGTATCACTCTACCAGCTCTAGTGGGGGAAGTGGGCGTCGCCTTGGGTGGACAGAGCCCGGCACCACAAACTTCCAAACGAAAGCAGCAAAACTTTTTTAAACTTGCCCAAGTGCAGCTGAGCATAAGCAGCATAGTGGTCAGACCTTGTCCAAGAAGTGTAAACCCGCACAACACCAAAAAAAAACAGAAGAAAAAAAAACGCACGCTACGGCCAGGCCACAGGTCATCCACAGAGATGTTCGGTGTGGTTATCGCGCTCGGAAAGCAGGCATCAGACTTCATAGGCAAGTATTGCCATGTCATGTTTTTCGGGCTCAGATACCTTGGGAGGACATTTCTCCACACACCCACAGAACAAGCGACTCTGGGCTAGCCAAGGCGCTTATTCCCAGCTGACACGTACATGATTTGATCATGCGGACTCTTTTCATGAGTTTCCTCAACAGGTGACTGGATAGTGTTGCTGTCTACAGTTACAGAACGAAGCCGACGCCAACAAACGATTCCAAAGCAGGGCCTGGTGATCATAATGCAGATATGCATTCTGCCCAGCGCCACCCTCAGCATCGACATGCTGAGCAACATGCTGCATGCTACAGGTGCTCAACATATCCGAAGCTTCCACCTGACCGCTTGTGTGGCCGCAGAGCAGTCTGAGGAGCGTATGCGTGCAGACCAGTGACATACGAGCTGTACGGAAGCGGTGTCCGCAGCGGAAGCCAGAAACCGGACTCGTCGAGAGGCGAGCTCTCTGAATGAAGTTCCTCACCAACAGATGTAGAAAAGCCGAAGTGAAAGCCCGCACTGAAGACCTCGAAAATTCAAGCCAGGAAAGAAAACGTCAGAAACATCTGAGGCTGGGCTGCTTTCTTCATTGTTTCAACCTCTGACGTCTCCGTGTTCATGTCTCCTGCAATGACCAGCTTGGAGCCCCCTGGGATCGTCGTGTCAATGTGTCTCCACATTTGCTTCCACCTCAAGTCGAGATACGGGCACTCCGAATCCTGTTCGAGCGCATCGTGACTGCAGGGCAGATCGAGGACCACACTGCTTTACGCGAATACCAGCATTCTGGGGCCACGCTTGCACGTGGGATCCGATAACCCACACATCCCCGATGGAAGGATGCCCAACTCGCACACGCATGAAGCCCTGGCAGGCATACCGCGCTGGTTGCTGCTGAAGAGGTCTGATGAGCAAGGCCAAGCAACTCTGAAATCCGCGCCTTCTGCGACATGCCGTCTTCAAAATCATGATCGACGTATGCCTCCTCGTGGAAATCTGCTATGTACAGCCCCTTCCGCACCATGATCACTACCCCACCTCAGGGAATGAGACGTTGTCATAGACTTTGTGCAGATCATACACGCTGCATCAATGAAAGACATCATCCGGCGACTGCGGATGTCCGTTTGACCACTCCCGAATTAAAAATATTCTTTGTTGCGCAATTATGAATAGAGGCACATGCCAATACAAGACCCTAGTCATCATACTCTGCAGCCTTCACTGCTCCGACTCGGATCCCAACAAATCGGACTCGGCTGGGGGGAGGACCAGCAACATCAGCCAGGAGAACTACTAACAGCAATTGTAGCACTTCAAAAACAGAAGATTGTCTAAGAGCAGCACAAGACTGTTTCAAATTAGTTTAGAACAGACACAATGCGCAGGCGAAAAGGCAGCACGACAGGATCATGCTCGGGTCTGTGCTCCGGCAAGTTTACTGACAAGCACAATCCCGTAGGTAGAAATCTGTGTCTCCGACGCACGCTGCACAACAGCACAACCTGCTATATGCTTGCACCCAGGCAGCCTGAAATTTTCACCCATCCAGCGGGATTCAGCACTCTCGTGGCAAAGCCGAAGTGCCCAGCACTGCTGCAGGCGAGAACATTGTCTTTCGCATACCATCCATTCCGCCTCCATTGCGGGTTACAGAGCCGTCTGAAGATGGTGCTGGCTGCTTTGGAGAAGATTTCGTTGAACACGACGACATCCTTGGGCTGCGAGCAGGCAGCGTTTTATCTCGAAAAAAACGCAGCCCGTAAGAAAACGACACTTATTCAAGCTTATGCGTCTGGAACCTCATTCTCCTTCAGCTCTTGGAACCAGCGGACAAGTCCATCGGCTCTTGCTTGCATGTCCTCGTGTCGTTCAAGCCGGCAGCCGAGTGAATCGGCTTCACGGCACCTGAGACCCGCGCTGGCTTGGAGCCGAAAGCGAGCCCCTGACGAGGCGCCCATCCAGCGATACGAACCTCCAAGAGAAAAGTATTCACCTCAACATGACAGCCAACGACGGCAGTATTGAGTCATCTTGAACAGTTCACCATACACTTGCTGGGGCAACTTGTCCAAAATCGCAAGGCTGCTGACGTTCATGATGGAAAATACATCCTCACCACCCGGTGGAGTCCAAGCTTTCTCGAGGCTTCGATCAACGCTTTCCCGGAAAGCTACCCCCCTCACAAGGAGGAGGAATAGCAGCTTCTGCGCCAGTAGCATGAAAGCCGAAGCTGAAGCTTGCAAACAACGAGTGCTTGAGCCATTTCATTAGCGGTCACGGTTTAGGGTTTAGGGTTT